TGACGGTGTTCGTCTATCCCCTGTTCATAAAAGCGACATCATCTCTCTGATGAATTGTATAGCCTACGTTGACATTGTTGATATATTTGTATAATCCCCACGATGTCAAAAAATGAAAATCCAGGCGTCACCCATCATCACCAGTGTTCAGATCCGCTGGTTAAATATGAAATGGGGTCTCATTTTACGCTTCGGGGTGTGGGAATCGGGTGATGTAATGCTCGTGATGACTCTTCGATGCGAGGGTTGGGGTTAATCCGCGGGAGTGATCTGTGCTCAGCCCGCAGAGAGAGGAGACAGTAAGGCGGCGATCAACACACAGTTCATGGTTGTTATCTTGCTTCTCGGTTGGTCGAAACCGCCTGGGTTGAAAGGAGAAGACAAGAGACACCGTTTTCAGCCCTCTCTGGGAGTCTGAACGAGAGGCGATGTAGAGAAAACAAGGTCCGCCGCCATCATGCTATACAGAAGGGATGCGCCATCATTAAATCAAAACAGCTCATGAGTTCAAACTATAGACTCTGTCAAAAATGCAAAGTTTAATATTGGGCCCCCTGTGACATAAACTGTGTTCATACTGTTTGGTTTTATATCCTCCTGAGACCCAGCAATTCATTTTTGCCCTCTCTAGTGGTCGTCAGTTCTTGGTCTGTATCTCTGAAGCCATTCAAACCACTGTATTAAGTCCTGTTGTACCTTTGAAAGGAAATTCTGAGCTTTTCAGTGATATCACGTGTGGGGGTGTGACATTGACTTTATCTTCCTGGTCAAAAGAAATGTCTGCCATCAAAATTTTGCACATTTTATAGACATTTCAAAAGAAGTGTGTAGGCTAACTATTAATGATATTTTTTATGAGTTTGGTATTCAAATTGTTTCTAGTAGGCCTAAGTGAATATCTCAGCAACATTTAAGTCAGCTGTCAAGACTGTAAAAAATAAATAATAATAATAATAATAACATTAAATAAGAGTTTATGAAGAAATGTCCTCTGCAGTGGACTACCAGATGCCCCAACTATGTTTTTCACCTACTGTACCCATTGTCTGTAGTCAAAGGCAGTACGGTGTGAAGATAGGCTGATCACACTTGTAGGCGACTTCATGACAACGTTGGCTAGCAAAGCTCATGCGTAGAAACACTTCATCCGGGCTAACGGTCGTCTCGCGCCAAACTGCGCATGTGCAGTCCGTCAATCAAAGCACGCCTTCGATATATAGACGAACAATGGGCAACAGTGTGGGCAGTATCAGAGGGAAAGAGAGAGGATCAGATTTAGTATTAGGGAGAAGGGGATACAGGAAATTAGTTTAAAGAGTATATTGAGTAGAGCGTCATTAGATATAGTCTCAAATATTTTGCTATCTTTTATAAGAGAAACGGGGTTGGCAGGTAGGATTTAGTTTATCCCTGTCTCTGGCCCACACTCCAGGACGGTAGGTGGCGGTCTGTTTGGTCTGTTTCCCAAGCATTCCCGGAAGTCTCGCGATGTTACGCCTCTTGGTTTAGAAGCTGTGTTTTAATGTAATGTAGTTATTCTTCATATCTATGTCCTGATGACCACTACAGAGGACAATTTTGCACTTACAATAAAAGAGAAATAACAATATTTGTTCACATTTTTTTCTTGGTAACATGTTTTTATTTCTCACCCCAAACACTAAAAAAACAATCCCAAACTTTTTTTCCGGATCTCAGGAGGATATTATAATTTTCGGTTGGCCTATAACCTAAACGGACATAGGCAATTTGCACCTTGCAGCATATCCCGTTTTGGGAATATTGTAGACTAGGCCTATTTGTTTTATTATTCTGTATAAGGCCTAAAGTAGATACGTATTTTATTTGACCCATTAAGTCTTCATGTTCAATATCACTTATTGAATAAAGGCATATAGCATAGCCTTAACCACATTTGGCCTCATTAGGTTATATGTTGAAAAATATATATTAAAAGAAGAAAAAAAGAAAGACACACCACATACACACACACACACACCACATATACACACACCACATATACACACACCACATACACACACACCACATTCACACATACACACAACACATTCACCACACACACCAGTAACACACACACACACCACATTCACACATACACACACACACACCACATACATACACCCACATACACACACCACACCATATACACAACAACTCACATACACACAACACCACCACATACACCACACACCACATATCCCAGACACCACTACACACATACCACACACACTCCCACATACAACACTACAACCACACACAGCCACATAACACACACACACCACATTACACACACCCACTATACACACCACCCCACAACACCCCACATACACACACACACCACCCACACAACACACCACATACAACACACACCCACATACACCACACACACCCCACCACACACACCACAACACCACACCTACACACACACACACCACACACACACACACACCACACACACCACACACCACAGACACCACAACACCACACACCACAACCACACACACACCACCACACCACCACCAACAACCACAGAACACCACATCCACAACCCCACAACACCACAACACACACCACCAGACCACCAACACCACACCACCACTCACACCCCCACACACCACAGACACCCTAACACCCAACACATCCCACACACACCCCACACCACACACACCCCCACCCACAGACCACCACACACCCCACACCAACCACCACCACCACCACACACACCCCCCACCACCACAACACCACCATCACACCCACACCCACACCACCACACACCCCACACCACCCCACCCCAGACACACAGACACCACCACACCCACTCCACAGCACCCCACCCACACCACAACCCACCACCCACACACCCACACCCACCACACCAACCACAACACCACACACCACCACACCCAACACACACACACCACAACACCCACATACCACCACAACCACCCACAGACACCAACCACACCACACCACCCACCACAACCCACAACACACCCACACCAACACCACAACCACCACACACCCACACCCAACACACCAACACCACACACCACATCGCACACACACACACACCACAAGCACACACACAAACACACCACACACACAGACCCATTCAGCACACAACACCCACCACACCACAACACCACACACACACACACCCCACACAAAACCACGACACAACACACACCACAGACACACTCACACCACATACACCACATACACACACACACCACATCACACCACTACACCACATAGCCCCAACATCATACAGGCCCTCCCTGTAGCCCTCAGCTGTAGAGCCATGGCGCTGCAACGCCAGGTATGGGCTCGATCACCACACACACACCACACACACACACACACAACACAATCCACACACTACACCACCACACACACACCAACACACCACAACACACACACCACATCAACACACACACCCACATCACACTCACACACACCCACAACCACACTCACCACCCACACACCACACACCACATACCACACACACCACAACACACCAAACCCCACATACACCACACCACAACACACAACACCACAGACACCACATACACAACACCAACACAACCACATACACCACACCCAGGTACACAGCACCACATAACACCAAGGATAGTCATCACACACACACACCACAACACCACAACACCACACACCAACATACACACCACATACACACACACACCACAACCAACACACACACCACATACACCACATCACACAAACACCACACAAACACCACAACACCACAACCACCACACACACACACACACCCCACATACAACACAGACACACACACCACAACACACCAAAACACACACCACCACACACACACACACACCACCACCACAAACACACACCCATCCACCACACCACAACCCACAACACACACACACACCACCAGCCCAGACACACACACCACACCCCACACACACACAACACAGACCACCACACACACACACACACACACCACCAACCTCACACACCAACCCAACAACACCACACACCCCATCCCACCACACAAACCCACCACCACACCTACCACATCACACCACACACCACCACCTCCACACACACACCACAACCCCACACACCACACACACACACACACACACCATATACACCACATACACACACACCACATACACACACACACCACATACACACATACACCACATACACCACACACACCACATACACCACATACCCACATACACCACATATACACAACATGCACCACATACACCACATACACCACATACACCACATACACACACCCACCACACACACCACATACACACATACTACATACACCACATGCACCACATATACACACCCACCATATACACCACATACACCACATACACACACACACTACATACACCACATTCACACAAACACACCACATACAAAAACACCACATTCACACACATACACCACATACACACATACACCACATACACACATACACCACATATGCCACATACAGGCCTCCTGTAGCTCAGTTGGTAGAGCATGGCGCTTGCAACGCCAGGGTTGTGGGTTCGATTTCCACGGGGGGCAAGTATGGAAAATGTATGCCCACGGGGGGCCAGTATGGAAAATGTATGCACTCACTAACTGTAAGTCGCTCTGGATAAGAGCGTCTGCAAAACGACTAAAATGTAACACACCACATTCACACACACACTACACACACTACACACACACACAGGCCCTGCAGATAAACATAGGCTACATTGTTATCTCAAAATTACAGGCCGATTGGCATAGACTATTAGAATACATTGGCAATCTTTTTTAAAGTAAATATAAGGGTTTCAAAAAGAGTGGCTGATCTTATCACCTAGAATAAAGGTCGGTGAATGCGTCTTGCTTTATGACAGCTCGGTGCTCCTGGCGTATCCCACACACACCTGTCAAACCGCACCTGCATGCACAGAGAACACACCTCTGTGTGGGATGAGCCCAAGGGTGGGTAACGCGCTCTGCCTTAGTCTGTACCTGCCAGTCTATTCTCATGCACTTCATAGGCTATTCTTGAGAGAGTTGCGATGCTCAAACTGCTTAAATATCTGCATGGTTCGGAGCTTGTGGCCAAGTTCCAGAGGGCATGCGGTCTGTTCCCCATCGAAGCCGCGCATCAGAACGGAAACTGGGCGAACCCTCCGCGGGAGACCCCGCTCCAAGACGCGGACGCACCTGACAAACTTACTCGACTGCGGTGCGGTAATGGACACGCTATTACCAATGAACAGGACAGCAACTCAAATGACAAACACAAGGAAAATGGATACGGTGTTGGTGTAAGTGTAAACTTCTCTATGAGATTTGAATGAGTTATTGAGTTTGAGAAACAGAAGAAAGTAGGCTCCCACTGGGCAAAAACAGGTTGAAACAACGTTGTTTCCAGGTAATTTCAACCCAAAAAGTCAATGTGATGACGTTGAATCAACGTGGAAAACTGATTGGATTTGCAAAAAGTAACAAGTAATCAATGTAAGATCATTTTTTCATCCAACTTTTAACCTTCTGTAAATCCAATGACATGGTGTATTCTCTGTTGATTTTACGTTTAATTCATGTTAGTTGACAACTCAACCAAATGTAAATGAAAAATAGACATTGAATGATGTCTGTGCCCAGTGGGCTATAGGCTAACTTCCCAGGTCCTGCGTTATGGGCGGGCCTTGGGAAGGTAGCCTATACCATACCTCCTTGCCCATCCAAATAAAATATTTAAATATTGATAATTTATTTGACTGAAACGCACACCAACAGAAGGACTCATCAATCATATAAAACATCCAAGCGAGCGAAACTGCACCGCTCTGTCTCAGTATGTGTAGCCCATGTATCTGATGCTGCCTGATCAAAAAGAGTATGGCATGTCATACTCTTTTCGGCCAGATAGCATCAGATACATGGGTTACATATTGTGAGACATAGGGGCGCTGTTTTGCTCGCTCGGATGCTTTCTCCAGTGAGATAGTTTCAGCCTTGCAAATTGAAGGGAGGTTTGCGGGGGCACAGTGTACTGTTCGGATGCTGGAATTATTTTGGAAGAACCTGTGAAGGTAACCTACTTTTTGAATAGGCAGCACGTCCAATAGGCTTAAAAGGGAAATGCTGAGGGAAATGTTTGTAGACTAATCACCAAGCCTCGGTGTGAAAGAGCAACATATCATTATCTGATGAGCCCATATATCCAGTGGAAACGTCATAAAATACCTGAACACTTTTCCCAAAAACAGCTGTCTGTCCCGAGCTCACTGGAAAACATTGAGGGCCCGGAATAGGCTAGTTGATACAATGTTGCAAGTTCGCTGGCGGGCTGGACCCAGTTGATTGATTTGATACAATGTTGCACTTCACTAGCGATAGTTAATGTCAAGAAAGATAGAAAGGGAGGCAAACAGGCGGAGAGATGAATGTGATCGAAAGAACCTGAATTTTCATCTGGATATTTTCTACTGTTTTTATTTGTCGGCTTTATGTATTTTTACTTAGTTTACAATGGAAGTTATAGGCCTACTGCTACATTGGCCTATAGGCTATCTCTAAGTGTTAGAAATTGCTTAATTCAAATCTGGTATTGGAATAAGAATCAAGAGATCTACAATCCAAGCTAAATTTATTATATGCAAAATGTATGTATGATAAGTATGTTGGTTCGTATACGGGCTCACTGAAATACCACGCAGGGCAGACAGAGAAACTAATCCATTGTTACAGATTGTTCTTCAAATACTCTGACAGTTTTTAGTTCCCGCTCTCTGCTGGGCCTATCAGAGTAGAGACTGAGCGTGGTTTAGACTTACTCAGCCAATCCGTTGGCGCACCGGCTGGTCCCCGCCTCTTGGCGCATCCCTGTTGCCAGGCATAAGTTTTTATCATAACAACCTGTCATAGAGAGAAGAGCCAGCCCCCCTAGACACCATTCCTACGTCCAAGGACGGTTCACAGATCACAAAGAAGCAGTATAGTCTAGTATTTGGAGACACAAATTATTATCTTATCTTACCCCCTAAAACAGCTCTTCACATCAATCACAGCTTGCCAGGTGAAACAAGACCCTCCATGCCTTAATCATTAATGCATTCCTTCCAAGCTAGTCATCCCATCAATTATGAGAATAATAAATCCCCACATAAGTTCCATGCATGCGCTCATTTCATTAGCCACCAATTAGATCACGGTGTATCAATGTGTCCATTTGAACTTTTAGATTAATTCAGATTTTTAGGATTAACCAAGTCATAATGATATTGAGAAATGAAAACGTTATTATTGAAATGAACCTGTTCAACGAAAATGCATAAATGAAAATCATAACTGGCACGTAGATTGGTAGAAATAGTAGAATAAATTGTAAGCTTCCCCAAACTTGAAACTTATATGCTGCCTATGAAGTGATTTGTTTGACAATCAGATGAAAACATATTGACTGGTTATGTTCATGCCACGTTACTAGACTAACATTGTGGTCCTCTGTAGCTCAATTGGTAGAGCATGGCGCTTGTAACGCCAGGGTAGTGGGTTCGATCCCCGGGACCACCCATACGTAAAAATGTATGCACACATGACTGTAAGTCGCTTTGGATAAAAGTGTCTGCTAAATGGCATATTATTATAGTATTATTATATGGAACTGTTTTAAGATGGCCATGAATCATTTAGCTATTTTATTTCGAATTTTAGGACCCCTGTAGGTATAATTTATTTTTTAAACAAATAATGTGATGAAATATTGAATGTGGCCTTTACTACTATAGCCCATAGAAGGCATTACATAACACATTCATAAATGGCAAAACAGACAATCCCAAAATAAATCATAAGGAATAAGGATTTTGAAATGTCTGCCCTGTATCTAGGAGATATAGGAAAGCTCAGGAAATATTTACGTTTTTGGAAACATATTTAACCCCTTTTTTTTGTTGGCAAAAGACGACCTCCATACTTTCATACATTTTTTAACTGGTACCGGGTTACCTTCAGACGAGTCCATGAAGCTTGTGGGGGTCTGCAGAGCAAAACAGAGAACACCATTGTGTTCGTGAGAGTCTCATCTTTCCATAGAGTGGTCATATTAGTTTGTAACCGTTCGGACACTACAGACATTTTTGTGAGAAGACCGATTTTCAGGATGTCTCATGGTCTGACAAACACCGCTGTAGCTCGGCCACCTTCCACCGCTGATGAGGAAGGCCGACATAGGCTGATGTGGTGGATTGAGACGCAGCCCATGCAGATATCTCTAGCTTAAACTTACAGATTTTGATGGGATTTTTGTATTATGTTACTTAGATTGACGCACGAGTGCATCAATTGACTCTTAAGAATGTATATGTCTTTACTATAAAACCCATTTTAAAAAATTGTCCCGTGAAAATAACATGCCCCCTATGGAAATCAAATGCCCGTCCAACTGATTCGTTCTGGCGCCGGCCCTGTACCTTCCGACAGTCTTTTCTTGTTAGTCCACCTTTCTTTGATTGAAGGTAGCCTACAGATTGCTTACTGATTGATTATCCGATAGCCAAGATTTGTTTTGCATTCTTATTCATTGCATTTGTTTTGAAGAATGAAACCAAGTAGGCTATGAGTAGTCTAAACAAACAACCCATCATCTGTGTTTGTTAGGCTATTCAAATGTGACTTAACATAGGCTACATAGCCCATGACCTGACTTGAGCAGTTAGCCTAGGCTATTATTTAGTTTAAGCTACTTTAAACTTAGATACAACAGACATTCAATATCGAAAGCAGGTCGAACCTGATGAGGACTGTCGATGGTCTTTTGGCTGGTGCGGATGAGGATGCTATCACAACTGGATCAGACATGCTTCTGTTTCTCTTTTCCCGCCATCACACATTGGCTGTCCTGATGGTGACTCCCGGAAATGGCAGTGCCTAAAACATGTTTGTCAAATTATTTTCCAAAAGACAAAACATTTTTCTACATTGAAATCAGAAGTAAACTGCCATTCATCGCGTTCCATAGGCTATCCATGTGACTCGTGACATAAAGACTGCAACTGACAAAGCTGTCCAAAGGCTGGAATTGATAACAATGCTTCATGGTCTATTATTTTCTACATGAGTCTGCTCCTGCCAACTTGTACAAGTTGTACAGGTCGAGCCGAGGTCATATACAAATAGTTAATTTCACTATATGTTCATTTGAGGCTACAAGTGGTTATCTTGTTCAGCATATGGTTACAGATGAGTGAAAATGATTGGAATGACAATGACCTGCAATCAGCCTCCTTTTTGTTATTATACTGTAGGCTACTGTGCTTTTACACTGTGAATGCTAGTCTCAGAAACCTGTCTGTCTAGAGAGACTACTCCTCTTCGAATATGTGAGGTCCTAACTCTGTACCCACCCACAGGTGTCGGCTAGGCCCCAGTATGAGGTGAGGAACCGGCTTCTATACTTCCTGTTCCTGGTGTCAGCTGGGCTGGGTCACGAGGTCTTCTACATCACCTTCCCGCCTTGCTTACACTGGAACCTGGACCCCTTCCTCTGCAGACGCCTCGTCAACATCTGGACCGTAAGTCACCAGTGGTTGCAAAAAGAGAGAACATATTTATGTGAGGAAGGATGGTTTAAAGAACAGAGAAGACTGTACTCTGCATACCAAATGGAACCATATTCCTTATATAGTGGACTATATAGGCCCAATATAGTCCACTACTTTTGACTAGGGCCAATAGAGTCCACTACTTTTGACTAGGCCCAATATAGTCCACTACTTTTGACTAGGGCCAATAGAGTCCACTATATAGGGATTGGGGTGCCATTTTGGATGCAGACACAGTCTTCTCTGCTCTTCAAACCATCCTCCCACACATACATCTCTTCTCTCTCTTCCACTGCTACCTATTCAATTCACACCTGCGGTTTCATTACAGAAAATACATGTTAAACTGTTGGAAATAACCACACCATAAGTCAGATATGGTATGTCTTGGAGGTCACAGACTGATGCCTTGCTTGAACATCCCATACAATCTCATGTTTTATTATATGTGCAAGAGAGAGAGAGAGAGTGTGAGACAATGAAGCTCTTCTACTCCTTCTCCCTCACCTCCTCTCACCCCTTACCCCTCTCTGACCCAGCCTTGCATCCCTGTCCCCCTTACCCCTCTCTGACCCAGCCTTGCATCCCTGTCCCCCTTACCCCTCTCTGACCCAGCCTTGCATCCCTGTCCCCCTTACCCCTCTCTGACCCAGCCTTGCATCCCTGTCCCCCTTACCCCTCTCTGACCCAGCCTTGCATCCCTGTCCCCCTTACCCCTCTCTGACCTCACCACCATGTCCCCAGGCCACAGGGACCACATGGGCCAGGTTGACTGGTACTACAGGGTGAAGCGACAGGCAATATAACAGAACAGGAGGGTCCTTAAATGACTCACTATTTGACAAGCACCAATTAACAAGCACACAATTTCAACCATTGTGTTATAACTGTTTATTACTGAGTTGTAAACAATCTAATAATGAATCGTTTATTCTCATAGATCATCCATGTTCCTGCATCTAGTTATGCTTTGACCATGAAGCTCAAACACACAGACAGACAGACACACACACACACACACACGCTCTGATTTGAGTGACAGTGAGTTTGTGTGCAGTATGTGTCCTCTCCTCCAGAATAAGGTGTGTGTCCTCTGAGCGACCTGCCCATGTTCTGCCCCAGGGGAGGAACGGTTTGGGGAGTGAACTCTGAACACCCAGACACCTGTAAACTCCAACACACATGCTTGCTTGCTCACTCACACGCACGCACGCGCGCGCGCACGCACGCACACACAAACACACACACACACACAGTCTGTTTTATTGACCACGTCATTGCTTTGAGGTTCTCTCTCTATGGGAACCATTGGGTCTGACGGCCCTCAGGGCAAACAGCCCTGCACTTGTAAAGCCCCCTTTTATTTTGAAGCTGGTGTTTTCTAGGGTTCACGCTGTCCCCTCACACACACACACACACACACACACACACACACACACACACACACACACACACACACACACACACACACACACACACACACACACACACACACACACACACACACACACACACACACACACACACACACACACACACACGCACACTCCTCCTCTCGTTTATCACAACACACACCTTACTTACAGGGTAACTTCGGTTGCCATGGTAACACATGGTTTTTCTTAATGATCATAACTAACATCACTAAATTACAGACTGTGACCCTCTCCACTCTGGTCCTCTTCCTAAAGCATGCTGTATTGACAGGATTTACGCCAGCATTTATTACATAATCATAAAACAAACCAACTACTGTATGTGTTCTCCATGACAGCAGGGCAGATGACCCTTTGCCCCCTCTAGCCAGTCTGACTAGAAATAAACTTCGATTTCTGATATTTGCAAAGGTCACCAGAATGTCGATAATTCGATAATGTTCAAACCTCAAGTGCGCTGCTTAGACCACTGCACAACCAAGTTGTTTTTTATTACGTTGTTTTAAGCCTTCCCCAAACCGTAACCTTAACCCCTCGGAATCAATGCCTAAACTGTTAACCTTTGAGTTGTTTCTGTTTTAACCCTGTAACCACGCGGAATTTCTGCTGTAACCACTCAGAATAAATGCATCTAAAATAGACTTTCATCCATAATATATCAGATTTCAAAGGGAAACAATGAGATCTTGTTGCAGGAACACCCCACCCCTCCCCAACCCACCCCACCCCTCCCCAACCCACCCCACCCCTCCTTTCCCACCACCCTCCCATGTTGACAGATCAAAGTCCAGAGTGGCACTGGGCCCGATCAATACTCTCATTCATTCAGCTAAATCTGCACTGCTACTATCTGTTTATGACCTGGACCATCTTTAACTCATCTCTTCATGTGATGGTGCCTGGCCAGTCCTTTGATGTGGCCCACACAAAGAGCCTAATGTGTCGGCCCACTGTATAGGTTGATCTGATGACAGTATCAGTGGGATTGATATGACTGGTGGCCTGTTAACAAGGGCAGGGTACAGTATTATTCAGATTCAGATTCAGCGTGTTTAATAGTCACATGTACAGGGGTTGCAGGTGTGATTGCAGGGTACAGTGAACATCTTGCAACATGCAGGACTAAGTGAAATAAAATAATAAAAATGGTCATAAAAAAACTACAACAATATAAACAGAAATAGCACTATATACTTCATAACTGTAGCAGTGATGAATAAATAAATGTCCATTGGGGTGGAGGCAGAGTAAACAGTGCCCGTGTCTTGGAGGCAGTAGCATCAGGGACAGTATTTCTTCCCAGGGAACAAACGGCTGATTGCTAAAGAGATAGATAGTGACTCTCTTCCCTCCCTCTCTTCCCTCCCTCCCTCCCTCCCTCCCTCAGTCTATAATCTCTGGTTGCTATGTTAACCATGAGGATAAGAAGCCTGTAGGCAGTTTTATCTCACATGGACCGTGGTTACACAAACACTCACTGATTATAGTGTCCCCATCCTGTCAGTAGGAATAGTCACCACCTCTATATCTTTCTTTCTGTAGCTTGCGCACTCCTTCCTAACCCATTTCTCTCTCTCTCTCTCTCTCCTCTCTCTCTCTCTCTCCTCTCTCTCTCTATCTCATCTCTCTCTCTCTCGCTCTCTCTCTCTCTCTCTCTCTCTCTCTCTCTCTCTCTCTCTCTCTCTCTCTCTCTCTCTCCTCTCTCTCCTCCCCCCAGCCTGGGTGGAGGGTCAGCCCCCATGTCCCACTAGTGCCGTCTCCTAAGGATGTGTAGTAGACAGTCAGTGTGTACTGATTGGCCGCACATCCCTGGCCTGGCATGGCCTGCACACTGCACACCCTCTCTGGCCCCGTACACACTCAGGTTGTACAACTGATGTACAATGCATTTGTCGCACAAAAGTTGTGATACAACATCATTTTTCTGCACAAACTCTCTGTTGTATCACTAAAATAGTATTTGATTCTTAAAGTAGATTGTGTTACTGGGCAACTGCAGACTATGCTCCTTTTATAGAAGTGTGCCTTGCGTCTTCTTGCAAACCGGTTGCTACCGACTGAATGATTACTTATTTATAGGATACTATGTGGCCATTCTTAATGGAGCATTGAACAATCAGGTTAGCTTCATACATTACAATGTTTTTTATTTATTATTTCCACAGTAAAAGTGTACAGAGTTTCAACCAATCAATCAAATGTATTTGTAAAGCCCTTCACGAAGATTTACCCTCCTCTCCGCCTCTCCTATTTTCCTGTCCTCTCCTCTGCTCTCCTTTTCTCCTCCTCTCTTCTAATTCTTTCCTCTACTCCAGATGGTTATGTACATCGGCCAGGCCCTGAAGGATGTGCTGAAGCTGCCTCGCCCTCTATCGCCCCCGGTGGTTAAGCTGGAGAAGCGTGTGGACGCTGAGTATGGCCTTCCCTCCACCCACGTCATGGCCACCATCGCCATCTTCTTCACCCTCCTCCTCAGCGCCCCTTCCAGGGTTCAGGTGAGGCCCAAGCAGCGCCCTGATCCCCTTGGGTCCCAAGCTTCTGCTACTCAGTCTTGGGGGAGACCCATCGCTTGCACACTCCCCTGGGACAAGGCCTGTACAGAACCATAGATGTAAAGTAAACATGGAGAGTTTGGTGCCAACAAAAGTATGTGAAAACACCTTCAAATTAGTGGATTCGGCTATTTCAGCCACATCCGTTGCTGACAGGTGTATAAAATCGAGCACACGGCCATCCAATCTCCATAGACAAACATTGGCAGTAGAATGTCCCATAATGAAGAGCTCAGCAACTTTCAACGTGGCACCGTCATAGGATGCCACCTTTCCAACAAGTCAGTTCGTCAAATTTCTGCCCTGCTAGAGCTGCCCTGGTCAACTGTAAGTACTGTTATTGTGAAGTGGAAATGTCTAGGAGCAACAACGGCTCAGCCGCGAAGTGGTAGGCCACACAAAGTCACAGAACGGGACTGCCGAGTGTTGAAGCACGTAGCCCGTAAAGATCGTCTGTCCTCAGTTGCAACACTCACTTCCGAGTTCCAAACTGCCTCTGGAAGCAAAGTCAGCACAAGAACTGTTCGTCGGGAGCTTCATGAAGTGGGTTTCCATGGCCGAGCAGCCACACACCAGCCTAAGATCACCATGCGCAATGCCAAGCGTCGGCTGGAGTGGTGTAATGCTCGCCTCCATTGGACTATGGAGCAGTGGAAACGCGTTCTCTGGAGTGATGAATCATGCTTCACCATCTGGCAGTCTGACGGACAAATCTGGGTTTGGCGGATGCCAGGAGAACGCTACTTCCCCAAATGCATATTGCCAACTGTAAAGCTTGGTGGAGGAGGAATAATGGTACGGGGCTGTTTTTCATGGTTCAGGCTAGGCCCCTTAGTTCCAGTGAAGGGAAATCTTAACGCTACAGCATACAATGACATTCTAGACGATTCTGTGCTTCCAACTTTGTGGCAACAGTTTGGGGAAGGACCTTTACTGTTTGTCGAGATCGGTGTGGAAGAACTTGTCTAGTCTGCACAGAGCCCTGACCTCAACCCCATCGAACACACCTTTGGGATGAATTGGAACGCCAACTGCGAGCCAGCCAATAGCCCAACATCAGGGGCCCGACCTCACTAATGCTTTTGTAGCTAATGCAAGCAAGTCCCCGCAGCAATGTTCCTAAAATCTAGTGAAAGCCTTCCAGAAGAGTGGAGGCTGTTTATAGCAGCAAAGGGGGACAACACAATAAGGCCCAGATTTGAAGCGTTTAACGCAAGTGTCCAATGGCCTGTAGGTATTATGACAAACAAGCAACATGCAATTTCACGGGTTACGTTAAAGAATTCATGAAGAAATTCATGGCCCTAATCTAGGAAAGACTGGGAGGGTGCAGCTGGGTGGCTAGCCCCCCTTGGCAGCCAGGCCCAGCCACGTGAGCCAGGCCCAGCCAATCGAATGAGGGTTTTCCTACAAAAGGTTTTCATTACAGACAGAAATACTCCTCAGCACCCCCACCCCTCTTCAGGACGATTCCTGCAGGTGAGAAGCCCGATGTGGAGGTACTGGGCTGCGTGGGTACACGTGGTCTGCGGTGTGAGGCCGGCGTGGGACGTTACTGCAAATTCTCTAAAACAACATTGGAGGCGGCTTATGGTAGAGAAAGGAACATTCAATTATCTGGCAACAGCTCTGATGGACAATCTTGCAGTCAGCCTGCAAATTGCACGCTCCCTCAAAACTTGAGACATCTGTTACATTTTGTTGTGTGACAAAACTGCACATTTTAAAGTGGCCTTTTATTGTCCACAGCACAAGGTGCACCTGTGTAATGATCATGCTGTTTAATCAGCTTCTTGATATGCCACATTTGTCAGGTGGATGGATTATCTTGGCAAAGGAGAAATGCTCATTAACAGGGAAATAAACAAATTAAATTTGTGCACAAAATTTGAGAGAAATACGCTTTTTGTGCGTATGGAAAATTTCTGGGATCTTTTATTTCAGCTCATGAAACATGGGACAAACACTTTACATATTGCATTTATATTTTTGTTCAGTGTAGTTTGCCGGACTCTGTACAGCCTTGTCCGAAAACAACCACTTGCCTCCAGACCTTCAGTGTATGCAGACTTGAAGGACCTGAAATAGGTGGAAGCATCTCTGTTGAGGGGGCTTGTCTCTCCTGAGTCCTGACCCTGACTCCTGACTGCCCCTCCTGGACAATGTGCTGGGAGGGGCGGAGTGGCCAGTCACCATCAGTCACCATCAGACACACCCACACAGCTGCTGTTTGTTCCTCTGATAGACTACATAGAGTAAATGACTGTCAATCTCTCTCTCTCGCTCTCTCTCTCACACAGACACACACACACAGAACAATCAATCAATCAGCTACTCAAACAACACCAGCCTCAGATACAGTGGTAGTGTGCTGCAGTGGTGACATTGTTTCTGAGAGAGCATGCATAGCTACGCATGTGGTGACTTAGTTTCTGTTTCTGAGAGGGCACATAGCTATAGATGTTTAGTGGTCTGGTGCAGTGGTCTGAATGGCCTGAGGCGATCTCGTAGGTTCTGAGGGGTGAAAGGTCAGGACAGTCAATCACAGTGGCCCCTCCATCCCAGCATGCTTTGTGTCCATTCAGAGTCCTCTCTTCAGTAACTTCTTCTGAAAGGCCCTCCCAGCTGCAAGGGAAAGGAACAGACATAGGAAAGAGAGAGAGAAGCAGGAAGGGAGGGAGGGAGAGAGGGAGAGAGGGGGAAAATGAGAAAAGGAGGTCAATGAATACACATGACATGGGCTCTCTTCACAAATGGAGGGAAACAAAAACACAAACAGGTAAATTATAGAAAGGAGGGAGCGGGAAGGAAGGGGAGATGGAGAGAGACAGTTGAGTAAAACGAGAGGATGACTTTAAGGAAGTCTATATGTCAGTGGCAGAATAGATGGATGACAGAAGATGTAGTTGTCTCAGGGGGATTGACTAATGGAGGACTTGATCAACAGGAGGAAAAGGCTAGACAAAGAGGAAAAGAGAGAAGGAGAGAAAGAAGTGGAAGATAAGGGCCCTGCCCAGAAACAACCCCTACCCCTAGAGCCGTGTGTAGATCTGGAGGATTGGAAAGGTGTATAAGGAATACATCCATTTCCCTCCGATTGGCTAGGTGGATTTAGCACGTTCCGATACTCTCTGTACTGAAAAATGTTGGGAATTTCTTGGTTCCACCTTCATAGTCTGACAGACTCAAGCTGATGAGGTTTTCAGATCGTATCCATCCTTTATCAGAGTATCAGAGAATGTCTCTTATCAGATAGTTGTGTATTTTGTAGTAGTGTGTGTGTTTATGTGTGTGCACATGTGTACCCACGTCTGAGTCAGTGGAGGCTGCTGAGGGGAGGACGCCTCATAATAATGGTTGGAATGGAGAGAATGGAATGGCATCAGACACATAGAAACCATGTGTTTGATACCATTCCACTCCAGCCATTACCACGAGCCCGTCCTCCTGTGGTCTGAGTGTGATTTGTGTGTACCTCTATTTTCTGTCCACAGTTCCAGTTTGAAGTGGGTCTGCTTGTGGCGGTGGTGCTGTCTGTGTTGGTGTGTCTGAGTCGTCTGTACACAGGCATGCATTCTGCTCTGGTGAGTCTCTTCCGATGCTCTGCCCCGACAGTACTGTATAAAACATTCAGACCCAATGCAGGATTTATTATTCATACTGTATGTCTGGCTGGCACTCTTAGCTAGGGGGACCTGCCTTTCACTTTGACACTCATCATGTCATTACATTAGAATAAGTAGTTCATTATGACCTGTAAAGGGTTTTTGGAGTAAAGAGGAGATAAGGGAGGTTCCAGAGTAACACTCTGACCAGAGGAGGCTGGTGGGAGGAGCTATAGGAGGACGGGCTCATTGTAATGGCTGGAAAGGAATAAATGGAACGGTATCAAACATATGGAAACCACATGTATGACTCTGTTCCATTAATTCCATTCCAGCCATTACAATGAGCCGGTCCTCCTATAGCTCCTCCCACCAGCCTCCTCTGACTCAGACTAGCACTTCATCACCATAAAGACTACTCACCTTTCAAACTACTATGAATATATCTGTCTAAGCAGTTACAAAAATGTATAACATACATGTATATACTCACCCGCCCTGCTGGTTTCAGGATGTGATCTGTGGTGCTCTAATCTCAGCCACATTGTTGTTGGTCACCTATCCATACTGGGAAACCTTCGACCGGCTCCAGCTCACCTCCCCACTCTCTCCCATCGGGGCATTGGTACTGGCCCTCTTCCTGAGCTACACCTACCCTGAGCTGGACCATTACACCACCACGCGGGGGGACACCACCACTATCCTGGGGGTGGGTGCAGGCTGTTCTGTGGGTTACTGGGTAAATGAGAGGCTGGGGGAGACGTTTGAGCCCCAGGGGGTGCTACCCATACCCCTGCCAGCACTGACACTGGGTGGCTTAGCCCTGGGCAGCGCCCGCTTTGTGGTGGGTGTCGTGGCGTTGGTGGCGACTCGACAGATGATGAAGACAGCCAGTCTGTGGGTGCTGTGCTCCTGGTATGGAGTGTCAGTCAAAGACAGAGACGCCAGGCGAAGGAAGGAGATCGAGGTGCCGTATAAATTCACCACCTATATATCCATAGGCCTGGTCCACTCTATTCTGGTCAATAGACTGTTCATAGGACTGGCACTGCTATGACCCAATGCTTTTATGAACTGTTACTATATATATATATATATATAAACATGGTAGGATCCTGTCATCATTCAAGTGTTCTCTGGAATTTAAATGTTTTATACATCTGACATTGATTCTATATTTTTCACACATTATCGTGTAACTTTGTAAGACTGAAGACAAATTAAAAGATTCTAAATTACACCGATTTTATTTTCAACATGTTACTTGCATTATTTGTTATTTCTGACTGTTTTATCCCTTTACTTTTGTAAGTCCTTGATAATTTTTTTTTTTTTTTTAGTCATTTAGCAGACGCTCTTATCCAGAGCGACTTACAGGAGCAATTAGGGTTAAGTGCCTTGCTTAAGGGCACAGACACATTTTTCACCTAGTCGGCTCGGGGATTAGAACCAGCGACCTTTCGGTTACTGGCACAACACTCTTACCCACTAAGCTACCTGCCGCCCATATCTCCTTCTTCTTTTCTCACTATCACACACATCACATTGAAACATACCTAAGCAACACCTGCATAGTTACAGTACTGTATCGTATGTCAGAGTTCATGTCCTGTTGTATCTTTCATCAAGTAGATGACGCTCCGCCCAGGAGCATTAACCCACCTAACAAGACCATACCAGTCAGACACACCACAATGAAACCTGTTGAACCACAGCTTCGTGGCTTCCTGTTATTTAATACTCATACAGTGCATAAGGCCTATATACTGTATGACAAACCTTTAAAATGTAAATGACTGGAATCAATACTATTGCTTAGAGCAATGTCTTTAAATGGTACAGTACAGTATATGGGTTAAAGCTCATGTGAAGCAGGACTGAGATTAATTCAGAAACACAGGACTGAGTCAGGCTGACATCTTATATTAACATTAATTACCATGGAGATAAAAATACAGCCACATACTTTGTATCTACCAGCCTACAGTTTCTATGGTTACTTCATACACAGTTGTACATTTGTCCAACAGAAATACCACGCATTATATAAACTGAACAATTCATTTGGGGCCGAATCCTAACTTTCGCACTCATATCTCAAGTTTTCAATGTGATGTCCATGGGAGATTTGCGTGAAAATGTGAGTTCCGCTGGGGCAGGTTGGGCCGTACTCTGCTGGAGCTGGGAAAGCCTGTGTTGAGATGGACTGAGCATGAGTAGATGAACCTGTGTTGGTTGATGAGTTTGGTGGTGTTACAGGTTCGGCGTGTGACATCACAGGAAGGGCTCGATGTCGATGTCCAGGGCGGAGCATGGCATGGTGAGCTCAAAGCGGTTGATGACATCAGGGTGAAGGACCCCGAGGCGTCCTATGCTCTTCCCTCGCGCAAAGATCTCAGCACAGCGACCAGGGAAGAAGGTGGAATCTGAAAGAAAAGAGGGGAAACAGAAGAGGGGGACGGTAAGGAAGGAGAGGTGAAGAGGTTTCTCACAGTGGTCCAGTTAAAATAAGCATTATCATAAGTGTAGTCTCTGAATAAATGATTCTGCACAGACGAGAGACCCAAGATCAATACATAATGAGACAGAACTATTCTCAGATGTGAGAGACAACTCACTGATTAAGTTTTTTAAAACACTGACTGCTAGAGGCTGTTCAAGGAGGAGACCATCTAGGCTCAGGGTTGCCATGACTCCAGTTCCACAGACATGCTACGTTCCGTTCCTATGCTGTTCTGTTCTCTTCCATGGTGATTCACTTCTTCCCACGCAGCTTTGCTCCTTAAAGCTAATGTACTCCTGAGCCCACCGTTCAGATGCTTACTCATAACTAGCATCAGAAAGCTCTCTACATGATCTGTGTGTTATCCAAAGCAGGACAGCACCATGACAACCCATCTTTATAAATGGTACACTAATAGCTAAGTGCCAGACAGCCAGCCTGACAAGTGACAACCAATTCCACACACCCTGAATACCCTCTCAGATTCATTCTCACTGAGCCAGGGTCAACACTAGCCAGACAGTCAGGAGGGTACAGTCTTTAACAGTGAAGGGGAAGGGCTGAATTTGTCACAGTTGTTAAGTGAAACGTGGGCATCTGCGCTTTAAGAGGCTCTCCTTCCCCTAACCACTCAGCCCCGAGTGAGTGAGTGAGTCTCTCTCTCTCCCCCCCCCCCCCCCCCCAACAGGCCGGCATCACTCACATGCAGTCTGCCTCCCACTGCTGACTACACGCTCTCTTACCCGCCATCTCCCTCTTTCTTTCTTTCTAACTTCACCTTCCACACCCCTGCTCTCCCTCTTCACCCCCCCTCTTTCTGTGGTACTTGAGCCGATCGATTTCCCCAATGTCTGATTGTGTCAGGAGAGCCACACACATCCTGTGGTGAGGGGAGTGGGAGGGGTTAGAGCTACTGGAGCCCTGCAGAACCCACAGCTCATAAAAACACTGATTTGTGGAACAGGCTTCATTAGTGCAATGGGAAAACATTCACTTCGCTAGAGTCGACAAAATACCCCCTATAATCACAATATTTCATTCCGGCTCTGGAAATACAGCCACAACTGTACTGTATGTTGAGGATAGGCGTGAACTGATATGGGACTTTCTAGGTGGCATTCTACTGCAATTCAGAAGACTATTGTAGTGTGAGACAGTCCTGTCATCCCAGTATGGGACCATCTCAGTAGTCTAAACGACTATTTTTATTTCCTTCCAGTTTAGACTACTGAGATGGCCCAAGTCCCACACTGGGATGACAGGACTGTCTCACACTACAATAGTCTTTTGAATTACAGTAGAAAACCTATCCAGAGCTTTCACCAATCAGTTGCCATTGAAGGAAACGGAGTCCAATTTAAATGACTGAGATGGTTCCCTGGTTGTCTTACCGTCGGTAGCCTGGATGTGGTAGCCATCGCCCTGGCCTGGTTTGACCTCCAGCAGCTGCATGACCCGGTCCATCAGGCCGTGGATCACCTCGAACCCAGGACTCTTGTTGTAGTAGACGGCACACAGACGACGGTTATTCCTGGCCCCCACGTCTGACAGAGGGAGAGTAGAGGAGAGGACAACATGGCCGTTAGGATATACTGTAGGATGTCTTTAAAAACTGAAAAAGACAGTGTGTGTATTCTTGAGTATGAGGGAATCAGTATGTAAATGAATGTTTGTCCTAATAAAGAAATTAGAAAGGCAGGCATACAATGACATTATTTCTACACATATCCATGAATACCCTCTATTATGAATACTTGGGTCACACCCACACACACCTTTGGTTTCATCCTTGAGCACCACGTCTGAGATCTCAAACAGCCTGAGAGGCAGAGGCATCTTCCTGTTGGCAGCCACAGTCTTCAGCAGGCCTGAGAGCAGGGTGGTGCGCGCCACCTGGTGGAGAAGACGAGCGCCGCCGTTAACGCCACCACCAGCCTCTGACACACCCACCAAGTCACACAGCACCCTCTTATGTAGAAAACCCCTCACATCAACAGGGGGTGACAGAATCCATTCAACTGTTTTACTTGATAATTGGTGTAGTGTATACCAATCGTAAGAGATCATTCAGAGACCAAAGGGGGACCGTTTATAATGTTATCATTGAGACATGATTAATCTAAGGTAATGGTGGTTCACCTGGAACTCCGCTGTCTTGGGGTTGGAGATGTGACATGCTCTGGTCTCCGAGATGTTCTTCAACAGCTTGTCAGCTATGTCCTCCTGAGAACACTGCACAGGAAGACAGATAGAACACATGAAAATGTGTGTGTGTATTTATTTAGATCCCCATTAGCTTTTGCAGCAGCTACTCTTCCTGGGGTCCACAAAGGGAGAGAGAGTGAGTGTGTGTGAGGTCATTACCAGGGCGAAGGTGAGGGCCTCCGTGAATCCAGCAGCAGCCAGGTCCTGTCTCAGCAGCTCTGACAGCTTATTCAGTGGGAGCTAAAAACACAACAGTCACAGATCTCACCACTTAATACCACCCAACCAGCAGCGCCCGGCAACAACCAATCAACTTCGTTAATGAATAACCTGCTGAAGAATCTATTCACCTGATTGGCTACGGTATAGGTGCGCGGCGTGGTGCGGGGAATATTGTTGAAACCGTACGCCATGGCGGCATCCTCCATGATGTCACAGGCGTGGATGACGTCAGAGCGCGTGGGCGGGATCTCCACCTCGATCTGTTCGCCGTCGCTCATGACCTCTGAGAGCAAGCACATCTTGGTCAATAGCTGGGCGATGTGCTCAGTCGACTCACTGGAGACAAACAAACCATAACAACCATTAAACAGCAGCAGGTAGCCTAGCGGATAAGAACGTTGGGTCAGTAACTGAAAGGTTGCTGGTTCGAATCCCCGAGCCGACTAGGTTAAAACATTTTTGTCATTGAGCAAGGCACTTAACCCTAATCGCTCATGTAAGTCTCTCTGGATAAGAGCATCTGCTAAATATATCAATGTAAATGTAAACCATTTATAAGCATCTGCAGGCATGTTGGAAGCATTCTACTTAGCATTTGGAGCAGGGGTCTCCAACCCTGTTTCTGGACAGCTACCCTCCTGTAGGTTTTAACTCTAACCCTGTTTCTGGACAGCTACCCTCCTGTAGGTTTTAACTCCAACCCTGTTCCTGGACAGCTACCCTCCTGTAGGTTTTAACTCTAACCCTGTTCCTGGAAAGCTACCCTCCTGTAGGTTTTCACTCCAACCCCAGTTGTAATTAACTTGATTCAGCTTATCAACCAGCTAATTATTTAATCATATGCGCTAGATTAGGGTTGGAGTGAAAACCTACAGGATGGTTGCCCTACACGAACAGGGTTGGATATTATTTGAAGCCACTTAGTTACCTGATGCCAACTTTGCGGTTGATGAAGTCTGCTGACAGAGTCTCCTTCCTGTAAGCCAGCTCCTGAGGTCACATGGTATAGCAGGACGGTAGAGGGTTACGAATAGCATGTGGTAGTCTGAATGTACATATTGACCAGTGGGTTCTAATATATTTTCACACAATAGGATACAGACTACAGAGTGATGGTAGGGGATACAGTACCGGGTACTGGCAGGTCCTGCCGTCTGGGTACACCACCTCAGCCTCCTCTACCCTGAGAGAGATAATGTGAGATAGATCAAGATTAGTCTTTTAAAGTGGGGCCGGGCAAAGGAACTTCTTACGACTATAACTTTGACAGATTTCCAATAATTCATGGTCTTATTTTACACTAAAAAAACATTAGGTTCAGCTATTAGTTACTTCATTTCAGTGATAGAAATCTAAACAGCTGTTGCCTGGACTCACGTGAAAGGCTCTTCACAATACTCGCAGAACATCGTCACCATCATGTCCAACACGATTTTTGCCTTGGTAAGATCAGTGGCTGTGCACTCGATAAAAACATTCTTTGTATTCAAGGAGATTTTGGAATGGTCCCCTGAAAAACAACAGAGGGGGGACTGTTAGAACAGTATCTACAGCATACGATGGGTTAATCAATATTGGAAGTCCACTAGGTTAATAGTTTTGGCTTATAACCTGTGTATATGTGTGTGTCCTCACCATTGATGATTGGAGGCATAGACAAGACAATGCCGTTGCTGTCATAGATGACAGGATATAAAGGCTCGTCTTCAATGATGTGCAGATAGTGTCGCAAGTGGCTGTCTGTCTGAGAGGGAGAAATACAAACAAATTGAAACATTGGACGACAGAAATAAAAGATCTCTAGCCATAGCCAATCACAACTCATCTTACAGAGGCTCATGATCTCTGTAGCCAATCCCTGCTCACCTTGTAGAGGCTCATGAGTTCCTGTGCGGTGTACTCCTTTGCCTGATTGAGAGGTTTGAAGCGGATGTCACCAGGTGGCTTGGCTGTGTAGGTGAAGGGGCCTGAAATGGTGTCCAGGTCATGGGTGCCGATGGCAACCAGAGTCCTTTTCCTACAGAGCACACATTACAGTCAACTCACACACATTGTCACAACATCCACTGAGACAAACACATCTCAGAGACTCCCAGAGAAGAATAGACTGAAAGCCATCTCGGAGGTATGAGGCACGGTATTGAAAAAGGTCTCTGACCAAAACATTGACAATAAATATGCAGAGGTAAAATCGTGTGTGTAAGTAAACCTTGTCCGAGCCAGAATGGCCCATATGGCCAGGAGCCTATCTCCTGTTTCTGTAGCGTAAGACAGCTTGATGTACATGTACACTCCCTGGACAGGACGCTACATTGTCGCAGGGCCTTACCCCAATCCAAGCATAGATGCATCAGAGTCTTTGGTATGACTCAAACGGGGACAGAACCCCCAACCATCCAATCTCAGGGCAGACACTAACCTCAAGGCCACTGAGTTGGTTAAACCTGTGTGTGTGAGTTCTATATATTTTTCTATGAAGGTAGAGATGTGATAGGTGTCTGACTAACCTACAGACGTTCTGATGGAGTTTCTCCTGTAGTTCGATAAAGCTGTCGTAGCGTTCCTGTGTGAAGGTGATGTTCCTCAGGACTGCAGCCACAGCGTGGGGTCGCACAGCAGCCGTCTGCGACAGGCACACAGGGGCACCCAAAGTCGGTCAGGATTCTCTCATTCATCTCTAAAAAAATATCTTACTTCCAACAATTGACCCAAAGCCTCCTTTGCACAGACTCTACAAATGTAGAGGCATTCATCAATAGTTCAATATCTTAATTCATCATCTTGTCACAAAGGACTGCTGAGGTGATTCATTCATGACAAGATGTATGAACCAACCCTACACTCTGCCCAGAACCTTAAACTGAAAGTCCAGTCAATGTTTTCCACCCCCCTCCTCTGTGATGACCAAATGAACAAACCCTACACCCCAAACCCAGGTCATTAAACAGATATTCTGGTCCGTGTTTTCCACCCACCTCCTCTGTGATGACCAGCCTCTGAGGCGTTCTGCTGGCTGGACTCACACGCCTGTAGCGAGGGGCTTCCATCCTGGAGCGCAGACACACATGGACATGTCAATACACAGCTGAAGACACAACACGCACGATAAAGCAGCACAAGCTGAAGTACTTTGGCAATGTAAGAGTCATGTTTAAGCACACAATTCTCCATATAGATGTGTTTACATACTTCTGCTTGAAGACCTGCAGGCCCCTGACCAGTCCTTCCAGACACAGCAGGTCATAGCGGTTAGCTGGGACATCAATCTTATACAGAATCACATCAGACGCCCCCTCTGCCTTGGTGTTTCCCCTGCTCACGACTGATGATGTCCTTCTCGGAGGTCTGAAGGACAGGGTTAGAGGGAGGATAGTTTGCCAGAAAACCCTAAATTGGTTATCACACAAACAAGTGGATATGGTTGAGGTTCATCCTCACAGTCTTCTACTCACAATCTCATCGAGCTCCAGCCCAAACTCAAAACACAACTCATCAAATTCTTCATCAGCTGAAATCAAGGGGAAAGAGAATAACATTTTAATATGTTGGAATAATTCGGTTATTATGGTCCCACCTCCATTCTTCATCTAATCAGATTTTACTAGTTAAATGGACGTAGCTATGTGGTGCTCAGTAGTAGGCTAGGATAGGTCTGGACAGGGAAATGATGCAATCGTCGTGAAATAACAAGCATCATCAGTTCTGTCAACACTATCAAATCATGTTTTCAATCACTATTCAGTAGAAACAGAGTAGATGCCGTTGTGTATGTAAAATATGTGATATGTTGTTAAACAACCCACAAAAAAAGCGTGATATGCTGTTATTGCCACGGCATCAGCCACTGTTAGCTAAAGCTAAGTAGCCACAGCAGCTAGGTAGCTATCTCGCTATATCTAGGTACCTTCTGTCTGAAAACACAACGCAGAAACAGACTAGTTTAATTGTACAATTTACTGAATATCTATTACTTAAAAAGGTAAGTAACATTTCTTACTGTATGTTCTGCCCAAGGCATGGAACAGAAGATCCCTTTTGACACTGACAGTCGGCATGTTGACCACCATTAACCGCTAGCTACTATTCTTTCCTCTGGCGTGTTGCCAATTCCTCAGTAAGGAAAGTAGCTATTGGCTGTCCTAAAAGTCGCTAAATGACGTCATTACCTAATATGCATAATTGCCATGTGCATGTAATTGTGATGGACGCTGTAGGAGAGAGGAATAACGTCGTGGGAGAGACAAAAAGTGAGTAAAAAACACCCTAAATATGTTTAGAACTACAAGGCTTTCATTTTTAACCATAACATTTAAACATTTTTTTTGTATACAATCTACATTAACAATCTAAATGGACCAAAAAGAGACAATAGAAAAAACTGTCAATGGCAATGTGAGAAAATTATGGTAACTAGTCTAGCCCTAATTCAGGTTAATTGTTTTGTTTTTTTCCCAGACCCCCCTCCACACACACACACACACACACACAGAAAGAGTGGGTCATGGTCATTTTGGTCAAGGCTCTCTATGGCAGGTTCAGCAACTGAGGGAGCTGACTTAAATGAGTAAGCAGCTGATGTGCCAAAAAGCTGCAAAACATTATCAGGCAACTGGTGCTCATAGCAAGCCTCACCAGACAGCTTCAGTCCATATCGAATGTACAGGATGGAGTTAAGGGTCTGCAAGGACATCCGATTTCTAAGTTTGCTTTTTACCACACTCATCTGGCTGAATACTCTCTCGACTTCAGCATTCGAGTCTGGCAAGGACAACACAGACACAGCAGCCATGGCAAGTTCTTGAAATGGGTTGATATCAGCTGCATCCCTGAACTTCCAAATCTCACTCCAGAAGCCCAGTGTGTTTTTGTCTCATTCCATTTACTAAGATGGATGGCACGCCATTGCTGGACAATCTTGTCTATCTCTGCAGGGGAGTAGCCAAGGAGCTTGGCTATTTTTTCTTTGGAGTTTCCTCCACATTGAAAACTGACATGTACTGCAATGCTTCGATGTTGTCCGGCAGTCTCACCCTCAACTCATTAGTGAGGGAGATGGTGAAGGCTACACACCGCTTTCAGACATTGTTTTCATCCTCAGGCGCAAGGTGGAGCTCAGCTGCCTTTGACTCAAAAGGTAACCAAGGTACGGTTTGGGACTGATGTATCCATCTATTGGCCCTTTGAGTACATCAACATTTGCCAGTGGATTCAGCACCCTGCTGCTCACAGACTTGATCAGGCTAACCAAGCTGTCAAGTAGCTTAAGAGGATCTACTTGCTCTCCCTCAAAAGCCTTGATGGCCAACTGTACCTCACCCAGCACTGACTTCAAAAAAGTCAGATACAATATGTTTTGAGGATCACTGTACATGTAGTATAAAACCTCAGCCATGTAGCAGTGTTCACTGGACTTGGTGACTGCGAAATGCAGCCTAAGCTCCTCCCACTAGTCCAAAATGCGTGAAACCGCGGGTTCAATGGAGAGCCAACGTGTGGCACACACCTTGGTTATCTGTAAAGGTTTCACCCCACAGTTGATGGTCTCATATATGGCCATGTAGGCCTCCCTGCGCTTTGGAGACACTGAAAACCAGTTATGTCTTTCGTAGCAAGTACTCCACACTATGGGGGATGGTGTCATTGGAAGCATGACTTACAGCAAGCTGCAGAGAGTGGCACACAGCGAATAAGAACCAGATCTTTGAGGCCATACTCCTCCTTCAGCACGTTATGGACCCCATTGTTAATCCCCGTCATAAGAGGCATTGTCAGTCCATATCCTCAGGAGTTTCTCTTTTTTTAAGACAACACTTCTCGAGGAAAGCCACAACAGCACGGGCTATAGATTTGGCATCTCCTCCCTCCCAACTCAACAAGCCCCAGAAATGTTGATACAATTGTCTGCTTGGTGTCACTAAAGTACCTTATCACAACCCCCAGGTACTTAGAAACACTTACATCCGTGGACTCATCGAGGAGGAGGCTGAAACGCTGGTCACCCACATCTGTGACCAACTTTCTCAGAAAGTATGGTGCTAGAACACCATTAATCATTTCTGTGCACTTTGTCCTGTGCATTTTGAAGTGGGTAGCAGCAGTGGAGTCTGAGAAAGCAGCTCTACATGCTTCTCCAATGTGATCACATGCCAGCATGGAACAGTGTTCAGCGATAGCTAATGCCATGGTGGCCTCAGCCTTTTTTGCAGAGTCAATTTTTTTAAAACCATAAATGGCAGCTTGTTTTGGGTGGAACTGTTATAAGGCTTTGCCTTTTGAGTATGTTTTTGAGTTGTCATGTGTTTTTTTACATCACTAAGTTTGGCATAGAAATCAGCCTTACAATACAGGCAGTATGCCCGTGTATCATCTCCAATAAACGGCTTCAACCAGCCTTTGAATTCAGGGTTTGATTCCTACTCCTTTCTGTATTTTTGAGTGTACAGTTTAGACTGAGACATGATGAGCTAGCCAGCTAGATGTTTAGCTTATGTCACAGAGAGGCACACACACAGTGGACGAGGTGAGTAAGTGACTGAGGCTGTGTGAGCCAAATGCAGTGATTTATTTTTGTGCAGTGATTTTATTTTAGACAAAGAACATTTTACATTTACATCCCGCCCTGAATGTAAGCCAGGGCGGGATCAGACAGCGGCGGCTTCCCTTATGCGCGATTCATTTCTCCTGCTCTGACTGCAGCTGGGAGGGACTGCTGCGCGTCGACTGAGCCGCCTGCGAGTGCTTTGGGACGAGGGTGGGGCCCACGGCAGCACCCGCTGCTTGTTGAGAAGAGTAAGAACGATACGTGCTTTCACGTCAGAGTCTCCCAAAAGTATCCAATAACACCAGAAAAAGTTGTTAGATTTATTGCTAGTCGATTGTTTGAAAAAGTGTCGCTAGAGGGGTCTGAATACTCGCTAAATATATCGACAAAGTCGCTAAGTTGGCAACACTATAAATTCCTCCAAGACTGAAGGACCCCTCGAAGCCGGCTGTAGCTGTCCGGGATAATGCCAATCTGAATTATTGGTATAAAGCACTACTCCTACCAAAAGTCTCATATTGACATTTGGTATCGAATTAAACGGCCATTTCAAATAGTTAATTCACAGTCACACTGGATTATCGAAGACCAAGTGTAACAGGGTAGAACCGTTGATGTATTGTGAACGCACCCTTGTTGGTCTGCCAGTCCCAGGTGGGAAGGGAAAGGTGATACCTAAGGTGCTTTCAAGACAACTGGGATCTCGGAAAAATACGAGGTCAAATCATGATGTCAGCAGTGGTGGAAAAAGTACCCAATTGTCATACTTGAGTAAAAGTATAGATACCTTAATAGAAAGTGTTAGAAATTGCGTAATTCAAATCTGGTATTGGAATAAGAGAAAACAACATAATCAAGAGATATTCAATCCAAGCTAAATTTATTATATGCAAAATGTATGTATGATAAGTATGATGGTTCGTATACGGGCTCACTGAAATACCACGCAGGGCAGACAGAGAACTAAACCATTGTTTACAGGTTCTTTCTCAAATACTCTGACAGAGAGTTCCCACCTCTTCTGTTGGCCAATCAGAGTAAAGGACTGAGTGTGGTTTAGACTTTACTCAGCCAATCCGTTGGCGCACGGGTTAGTCCCAACCCCTTGGCGCTCCACCGTTCCCAGGCATAAGTTGCTATCATAATAACCTGTAGAGTCAGCACCCAAAAGACACCCTTCCAATCTGTACTCTATGTACCTACGTTCAAGGACGGTTTCACAGACAACAAAGAGAGAGTGTTCGGGTATTGTGAGACACAAGTTCTTATCTGTCCCTAACGTTCCACACATGAATCACAGCCTGTTATGTGAAACAATTTATATCAGTATAGTACAAACCTATGCTTATCATTAATGCATTCCTTCTAAGTTATTCATCACATACAGATCCAATTATGAGAAAAATAGAACCCAACAAAAGTTACTCAAGTAGAAGTGAAAGTCACCCAGTAAAATACTACTTGAGTAAAATCTAAAAGTATTTGGTTTTAAATATACTTATGTATCAAAAGTAAAAGTATACATCATTTCAATTCCTTATATGAAGCAAAGCAGACTGCACCATTTTCTTGTAATTAAAATGTATGGATAGCCAGGGGCACACTCCAACACTCAGACATTATTTACAAAATATGCATTTCTGTTTGAAACGATTTTTCCCAGTCAGGGCTACTTTTTTTCTGAGGTCCCAGTTGTCTTAAATGCACTGAAGTCGGAAGTTGGAGATTTCCGAGTTCCCAGTTGTTTTGAACGTGGCACTAGTCAGTTGCACAACTGAATGCATTCAACCGAAATGTGTCTTCCACATTTAACCCAACCCCTCTGAATCAGAGAGGTGTGGGGGCTGCCTTAAAGGAAAACTCAACCCAAAAACTATATTTTGGTATTTGTTTCATTAGTGCATTGTTGACATGGTGCCAAAACGTTCTTCAACATTCTTGAACAGACAGATACGTTTGCTCCATTTGGTGGGTGTGGCAGGGTGTAGCTTGAAGCAATGAGCGACGTATTTAAGTGGCAGCGAAGCGTTCCCAAACCCTCCACGTTTTTCAACTGGTTGTTCAGAACAGCACTGTTTCCGTTTAATTGAACATTGCAGTACATTTTTTCATACTGAATGCAGTCATGGACGTCAATGTTTGCCTGCACACGCATCATCCACCTAAAAGGAAGCAATTCCCAAACCTTCCATAACAAAGCCATCACCTACAGAGAGATGAGCCTAGAGAAGAGTCCCCTCAGCAAGCTGATCCAGGGGCTCTGTACACAAATACAAACAGACCCCACAGAGCCCCAGGACAACTACAAAATTAGGCCCAACCAAATCATGAGAAAACAAAAAGATAATTACTTGACACATTGGAAAGAATTAACCAAAAACAGAGCAAACTGGTGATGTGACTTTCATTAATATGATGACTTATTTATAGAATCAACTAAATATGTTTTAATTGTTACCCGATTTTAAATTAATCATGTAACAATTACCTCATTAGGAATTTGGGGCACCACGGAAGAAGTTGTTTATATTGTTACCAACCCCTGAATTTAACTCTAAAATATATACAGTGAGGGAAAAAAGTATTTGATCCCCTGCTGATTTTGTACGTTTGCCCACTGACAAAGACATGGTAGGTTTATTTGAACAGTGAGAGACAGAATAACAACAAATAAATGCAGAAAAACGCATGTCAAAAATGTTATAAATTGATTTGCATTTTAATGAGGGAAATAAGTATTTGACCCCCTCTCAATCAGAAAGATTTCTGGCTCCCAGGTGTCTTTTATACAGGTAACGAGCTGAGATTAGGAGCACACTCTTAAAGGGAGTGCTCCTAATCTCAGTTTGTTACCTGTATAAAAGACACCTGTCCACAGAAGCAATCGATAAATCAGATTCCAAACTCTCCACCATGGCCAAGACCAAAGAGCTCTCCAAGGATGTCAGGGACAAGATTGTAGACCTACACAAGGCTGGAATGGGCTACAAGACTGCCAAGCAGCTTGGTGAGAAGGTGACAACAGTTGGTGCGATTATTCGCAAATGGAAGAAACACAAAATAACTGTCAATCTCCCTCAGCCTGGGGCTCCATGCAAGATCTCACCTCGTGGAGTTGCAATGATCATGAGAACAGTGAGGAATCAGCCCAGAACTACACGGGAGGATCTTGTCAATGATCTCAAGGCAGCTGGGACCATAGTCACCAAGAAAACAATTGGTAACACACTACGCCGTGAAGGACTGAAATCCTGCAGCGCCCGCAAGGTCCCCCTGCTCAAGAAAGCACATATACAGGGCCGTCTGAAGTTTGCCAATGAACATCTGAATGATTCAGAGGAGAACTGGGTGAAAGTGTTGTGGTCAGATGAGACCAAAATCGAGCTCTTTGGCATCAACTCAACTCGCCGTGTTTGGAGGAGGAGGAATGCTGCCTATGACCCCAAGAACACCATCCCCACCGTCAAACATGGAGGTGGAAACATTATGCTTTGGGGGTGTTTTTCTGCTAAGGGGACAGGACAACTTCACCGCATCAAAGGGACGATGGACGGGGCCATGTACCGTCAAATCTTGGGTGAGAACCTCCTTCCCTCAGCCAGGGCATTGAAAATGGGTCGTGGATGGGTATTCCAGCATGACAATGACCCAAAACACACGGCCAAGGCAACAAAGGAGTGGCTCAAGAAGAAGCACATTAAGGTCCTGGAGTGGCCTAGCCAGTCTCCAGACCTTAATCCCATAGAAAATCTGTGGAGGGAGCTGAAGGTTCGAGTTGCCAAACGTCAGCCTCAACCTTAATGACTTGGAGAAGATCTGCAAAGAGGAGTGGAACAAAATCCCTCCTGAGATGTGTGCAAACCTGGTGGGCAACTACAAGAAACATCTGACCTCTTTGATTGCCAACAAGGGTTTTGCCACCAAGTACTAAGTCATGTTTTGCAGAGGGGTCAAATACTTATTTCCCTCATTAAAATGCAAATCAATTTATAACATTTTTGACATGCGTTTTTCTGCATTTTTTTGTTGTTATTCTGTCTCTCACTGTTCAAATAAACCTACCATTAAAATTATAGACTGATCATGTCTTTGTCAGTGGGCAAATGTACAAAATCAGCAGGGGATCAAATACTTTTTTCCCTCACTGTCTATATGTTATATATCGATAAGTCACGTATTAATCATTACCTCATATCAGTCTCATTCTGAACGTCGCATAATCCTTGAATCCGCAAGAACCCTAACCTTACTTATGAATAAGCAATACACAAATTGGCTTAATTATTTATTTACTAGCTAACTAAATAATAACACATAATACATACACACACACACACACACACACACACACGGTATAGGTTATTGATTAGAAACGTAATACAATGGAAACAGGTCCCTAGTGGACTAACAACAGCATTACTGCTTGGCTATCAAAAGGGAGGGGTCAGGAAGAGAGAGTGGAGGGGGAGAGAGAGGGACAGAGAGATTCAAACTTGTCGTACATACATTTGGAAACTACGCTCACAGTAATCAGAAAACTTAGCACCCTAACCACCGCCCATTCGGAGAAGAATTCATGAATGTATTTACTTGTTTATGTCTTTGTTCGTCGTCTCTCTGTTGAACTCAATCACTCCTATTGGGAAGGTGTCGATGGGTGTAAGGCTCTGGTTGTCCACCAGAGGTCACAATGTCCTTGGTTGTCCTGGTTTGGAGTGGAGGGTTAAAATAGAACAGATACTCAGATGCACCCGTGATTGTCTGAGATGGGATCTTCTTCTTCCCACCTCGTGTCTTTAGTCAAAGTTCTAGATCACTTTACACGCCCAGCTGCGTACTGGCAATGTTCTGGTCTAGTGAGTTTATCTTCTTCACCTCATGTTGAGATTCAAAGTTCTAACCATTTCAAAGACCATCTCCACGCTTTCTGGTCTTTCTGGTCTAACCATTTTAAGCCGTGTAGCCATAGCTCCACACTTTCTGGTCTCAGAGTTTCAACCATTTGTAACGTTTAGCTCACGCTTCACGTATGATGTGAATTTCGTTACCAAGGCTTTTTATCCTTGGGTAAAAAGGGGGCGTTCCATCACACCGACACAATGTCTATGCTCACTTGGGGCGTGGTTACTGACTGGGCAAACGTTTATACGAAAAACAATGATCTCATTAGAAGACTAAAATCACATTCCTATGTTCACCAAAATACTCTCATACTTAATCATATATTTTATACAACATTTAGATGTAAACTTGACAAATAGAATGTGTACACTTTCCGAGTTAGTTATTTCTTGATACAATCCTTAATGACATCACAAAATAATAAACAATATGACATGATTATTCTTTAGATCCCCACTGACCATTCCTAACATTCGGATGATCGAAATAATGTTCCAAAGTTCACTTTTTGGACAAAAAGGTTTTGGCGGCAAAACTCTCTCTAGACAAAGACATTCCGATCTTAATACTAGAGAGCCAGAGAGTTCTCTCCTGCTTAAATTTATGACCCAGTGTTAAGGTGTCAAAAACCGGCCCAGACGTCCCTCCCCTCTTCTGTGGGTGAGAGGGTCTGTTTGTTGTCAGCCATTTGCTTAGCTGATCTGAGTCCTTTGATCCACTGTCAGGAGAGTCATGACACTGGAATGCTATTTGGCCCTAAAGAATACACAGTGGCAGAATACCTGACCACTGTGACACCCAAAATTAAGGAAAGCTTTGACTATGTACAGACTCAGTGAGCATAGCCTTGCTATTGAGAGAGGCCGCCGCAGGCAGACCTGGCTATGAAGAGAAGACAGACTATGTGCACACTGCCCACAAAATGAGGTGGAAAATGAGCTGCACTTCCTAACCTCCTGCCAAATGTATGACCATATTAGAGACTCTCACGCATATGCAGGGAGTCAGGAAGCAGGTGCAGAAGGAGAGTTTAATAACAATGATGCATGGCAAATGAACAAAACAGGAGAAGCGTACTGAACATGAAAACAAACCAATACTGCCTGATAACTGAGGCTACTGAGGGCTAAATAAAGGGAAGGTAGTCAATGTGATGATGAAGTCCAGTTGTGCGTAATGATGGGGAGCAGGTGTGCGTAATGATGGAGAGCAGGTGTGCGTAATGATGGTTGCCAGAGCCGGTGATTAGTAGACCAGTGACGTCAAGCGCTGGAGAGAGGGAGCGGGAGTAGATTACACAGACCCACAAAGAATTAGAAAACAAATCCAATTTGGATGAACTCCCATATCTATTGTGTGAAATACCACAGTGTGCCATCACAGCAGCAAGATTTGTGACCTGTTGCCACAAGAAAAGGGCAACCAGTGAAGAACAAACACCATTGTAAATACAACCTGTATTTATGTTTAATTATTTTCCCTTTTGTACTTTAACTATTTGCACATCATTACAACACTGTATATAGACATAATATGACATTTGAAATGTCTTTATTCTTTTGGAACTTTTGTGAGTGTAATATTTACTGTTCACTTTTGATTGTTTATTTCACTTTTGTTTATTATCTATTTCACTTGCTTTGGCAATGTAAACATATGTTTCCCATGCCAATAAAGCCCACTGAATTAAATTGATAGAGGACTCATCTTTGTGTCTTTGCCATTATAGCATCTGTGACAGTATGGGCAGCAACCTAACCATTACGAAACTTCTATTAGATTAAATAAGCCTCACGTAGCAAATTGACAATTGCATTTTTGTAGACTAAATTCGACACACTCTCTCATTGACCTCCATACAAAAATTCCTCACTTCGTGGGCTTATTTTTGTGGACAGTTTAGGCAGAGTAAAACCTTGCTTCGCCGGTTCCTCTCTGGGTGTACTCAATTAAACTCCTTGGTTGTACTTCACGTTTTCCACAAGATAGTGCTAGAACAAAGAAACCAGAGTAGGCTAAAGCCTGATATAGCAATCACGTTTAGAGCAGTGCTTTGGAAGTTGATAAAGTCAAGTGTTTGGTAAGCGCCCAGGCGCACAGGAATGAATATAGCCTATCATTTGTATTTGACTTGAATAGTCCTGCGCCTGAAGTCTCGCCAAAATGCCACGAACTTGGATGACCGCCTTGTTAGAGCTGCTAAGTATAAAATGATTTTGTCAAGGACAGGGGCATAAGATAGTGACCCTTCCCCTGCTCTGTTCCCCTGAGATCCTTTTAGAACCCGGGAGTGGGAACTGCAGACATGGTCAAGATAGAGTTTGCACCCTTGAATATCCCGCTCAACCGACGTTTACAGACAGCTGCAGTTCTTCAATGGGTCTTCTGCTTTCTCTTTGGAGGTAACTGGTAGGCTACTGCACACTTCCTCATCTTCAGCAAATCATAACCATAGTGGCCCAGGGTTGGGGTCAATTCAAGTCATTGCTTACTTATGTGATGCCCATATTTTTCTGCACATCCATCTGTCTAGCGCAGTGTTCTTTTTGTGTGTACGTTGTGATCGTATTGAATGGATACTGGCAAGTGGCTGCTCTGTATGCCCTGTGGCTCTACCTGGACTGGGACACACCTCAGGCTGGGGGCCGCAGGTCTGACTGGGTACGCCACTGGACCGTGTGGAAACACTTCAGAGACTATTTCCCCATCCATGTAAGTAGGCTTATGACGTTTTCTGGTTGTGTAGCCTATGCATTTAATGATGCATGGAGGCCAATTAATATAAAGCCTCATTATTATCAACCGTAATAGGTTATTACACCATTCTTTGCATAATTTAGACTTCAGCCTGTGTGTAAAGACACTCAGAATTCCATTTTGAATTCCATGTTGGATTAATAATAACACAATTTGTATGCAACAATAACATAATTTGTATACAAACGCCTATTAACTGACTGATGAAAATATAGTTGAGGACGTTTGTCTCAAGGCAAGCATGATTGCCTACCCACTCTTTATCCACTGCCCATTGGTGTATTAATAGCTCAAATAGGTCAAAGCCATTGTAAAGTGGTCATTGGCCAATACATCATGGTGTTTCCATGGCTAAAGGCCCAGCCCCCAGCCCCCTGTCACATCCACCCATTCTGTGGTTGAGTTGCTGCCTGACTACATTGCAGTGCCGGCCATTTAAGATGAGGGAGAACGAGTTTTACTTTTCATCAGTATGGCCTTATTTCTATTGCAGCATATTGGATGACTGTCATTCATATTCCATTCACCCAGTTCAATGTAACAGCGATAGGTTTAGGCTACTACATGATTCTCAAATTTTCCCTATACCCATCATGAGGTTGCTGAAAGTTTATAATGTAGGTGCACACAGGTCGTGACAAAAATCTGAGATGACTGACAGTGACACATTCAATACCGCCTTGCACACTCTTGCCTGCGTCTAGCTGATCTAGGGTGTAATCATTAGTCCAATAGCTGCAAACGAGAGTTTCAATTGGACAAATTCAGGTATGTTTATCCCCGTTTCGTTCTGTTTAAGAAACGTTTTTCAACAGAATCGGCGGAATGTATACACCCCTGATCACACGTAAACACGGTTCACTTTCATAGCAGCCACGTTTTATTCCTTCTCTTATCTATGCGCTCTCCTCCTCTCACATTTTCCCTTCGCTTGTGAACTTCAATGCACAACACGTCAGCTGTATGTGACCAGGCGAAAAAACCTTTCCAAGCAAACCATATCATAACCACTACACACAGTCTACATCATTGTCACCATATTAACTAAGATAACGTCATAGTCAACATAGCTAATATAACTAATGAGTTAATAAACCCACTACAATCATGCAGTGAAGTTACAGTGTACAGTCAGTAAGCAGTTTAGCACTTACACTGGCGGGCCACGGTGGCAATACATTAGTAAAACCAAAAGTTTACCTTGAGTTCCAGTGTTGTGTTCGATAGTCATAGCCAACCAGCTAACATAGCATCCTTCTGTTTGAGCAGGGTGTTTGAGTAGGTTAAACGAGCTATCTGAATTTGATAGCTAAGTAAGTGAAAGTGAAAAAAATGACAATCTCTCTCTTGCTTCTCCTTCATTTTGAATAAATTAATTTGTTCAAAACTGTTCAACTATTGTCTTTCTCTCTCTTTGAGTCAACTACTCACCACATTTTATGCACTGCAGTGCTAGCTAGCTGTAGCTTATGCTTTCAGTACTAGATTAATTCTCTGATCCTTTGATTAAGTGGACAACATGTCAGTTCATACTGCAAGAGCTCTGATAGGTTGGGGGACATCCTCCGGATGTTGTCATAATTACAGTGTAAGTCTATGGAAGGGGGTGAGAACCATGAGCTTCCTAGGTTTTGTATTGAAGTCAATGTATCCAGAGGAGGACGAACGCTAGCTGTCCTCCGGCTACACCATGGTGCTACCCTACAGAGTGCTGTTGAGGCTACTGTAGACCTTCATTGCAAAACAGTGTGGTTGAATCAATTATTTGGTGTCGTGAATATATTTAGTATAGTTGTATCTAAAAAGGATAACTTTTTAAAGTATTTTACAATTTTTATTTTTATGAAATTCACTGAGGAGGATGGTTCTCCCCTTCCTCCTCTGAGGAGCCTCCACTGCTACATTGCAGATGTATGCCAGATCTTACAAGGCCTGGATATGTATTTAACATAGCAGCTAACCACATCATATAACATAACCATCTGATGCCCGACTGCACAGTCAATGACGTGACACACAACCATTGGTTGACACAATGCAACGCCTGTGCATCTAGTCGGGCAGGAACTCAACCTGTTTCTTATCCATTGTCCTCTCACTGTTCATGTCTTGTCTGTGGTCAGCTGATTAAGACATGTGACCTGGACCCAGAGAGGAACTACCTGATGGGGTTCCATCCTCACGGAGTCCTGGTCGCCGGAGCGTTTGGGAATTTCTGTACTGAATACACAGGTTTCCGGGCACTCTATCCAGGAATGACTCCTTACCTGCATACCCTAGGCATCTGGTTTGGCTTTCCATTCTTCCGGGAGTACCTTATGTCCTCAGGTGAACCTTGTTAGGGATTTATTTATGAACCAGAACCATCAGATGCATTCTACCACAATGATTCTGTTTTTTCTAATTTAAACACTATCAGTAGGCTTTTAAGATTTTGTAAATGATGGAGTGCATTTTGAAGGACCCGAGCATCACATTTAAAGGTCCAAACATTGTGTGGCACACTGTAGTGCAGTTTTAGTTTGTCAACAATTCTTTCTTCATATTGCGGATATTGGAAGTATTTTCTAATAAACTCTGTCCTGTGAAAGTTTTTTCTTGCCACACATTTGTTCTAAATATACTGTGCTGCACCTACCCTAAGGGGTTGTCTCTTGTTCCAAGAAGAGTCTTACCCACGTGTTGAGCCAGAAGGGAGGGGGCAACGTGTCAATCATAGTGATTGGCGGGGCGGCAGAGTCCCTGGAGGCCAGGCCTGGGAGCCTCGTCCTGGAGGCCCTCAACAGGAAGGGCTTCGTCAAGATTGCTCTCAGGTGTGGGTGAGTGCATCCTTCCTGCCTTATTTCCTATCAACCACTCATTATCTATAACCGTCTTGTTTAAAATCAAGTATTATAAATGTTCATGTTGACTGAAACCTCCTCCGTAAGGGCCATTACTGAATGTACTGTAGGCCATGAAGTGAACTATGATTCTTAACCCCAGGCCTTTTAATGACAGATGTGTTGAGATGAAAGGAAATGCACTGTAATATTTACATTTACACACCTGCTAAAATAACAGATGTATGCTTCCGCTCAGAGATTTGAAAGAATCAATCATTTGACTGGGCATTCAGTTGTTAAAAAATAAACTAGGATACACTTGGGTCAGGAGGATTATGGGTAGCCACTCCACAACAAATCCTCCAAAAAGGATCAGATCACATTCAAATACATCGATTTAGCAAACAACCACAAATGTCACATTACGAGGTTACAGTCAAACGTGGAATTATGCCACTTCTTCTCTCACCCTCTCCTGTGTGCAGAGCTCATCTGGTGCCAGTGTTCTCCTTTGGGGAGAATGATCTGTTTAATCAGCTGAAGAACCCGAAGGGCTCCCTGGTCCGTACCATCCAGGAGGGCATGAGGAAGACCCTGGGCTTCAGTCTGCCTCTGTTCCACGCCCGGGGGGTCTTTCAGTACAGCTTGGGCTTCATGCCCTTCAGACAACCCATCTACACCATCGGTGAGTGGTGGGGGATGGGGGACAATGTGGGTGGAAAGTGACGGGAAGAGATGGGTGACGAGGAGGAATAGAGACTAAAATATGACCCATTTGTGTCTAGGGGGAAACATGTTCTGAAAACAATTTACAAACAACATTCAAAAACAATGTGCAGTCACAGTGCTCTGATTGTATGAATTCCTCTAGTTAGCTAGTCATCACCCAGATGGTCAAATAAAAGCTCACTGAGAGAACGGCCGACATATGAGAAACTGGTTCATAGGTGACTGTGTTATGGGTAACAGTAACCGTGGCAGCAGCTGTGGTCAGCCAGGACATCATGACCAGCTGGAATAGAGCCATCCACGGTGAAGGGTCACTGGGCTACAGCCAATCAAGTCCAGTTCTTCCTCTGAGTCACTACATTTGAACATTCTGCTCTCCCTCTGTATTTTTACTCTCTCTTTCTCTACTGCCTATCTTCCCTTCCTCTCTCCATCTCGCACAGTGGGAGAGCCCATAGTGGTGGAGAGGAACGTGAGCCCCTCGTCAGATGAGGTGGACAGGCTGCATGGCTGTTACCTGGGGGCGCTGGCTAAGCTGTTTGAGCAGCACAAGGCTGAGTACGGGATCCTAGAGCACCAGCACCTCATCTTCACCTGACCAGACCAGCACTACACTGTAGGATTGGACCATTCAACCAGCTCCTGACCCATACAGACATTCAAACAAACATAATGCAAAGTGCACTACCGTTCAAAAGTTTGGGGTCACTTAGAAATGTCCTTGTTTTTGAAAGAAAAGCAATTTTTTTGTCCATTTAAAATAACATTGAGTTGATCAGAAATACAGTGTAGACATTGTTAATGTTGTAAATGGCTATTGTAGCTGGAAACAGCTGATTTTTCATGGAATATCTACATAGTCGTACAGAGGCCCATTATCAGCAACAATCAGTCCTGTGTTCCAATGGCACGTTGTGTTTGCTAATCCAAGTTTATCATTTTAAAAAGCTAATTGATCATTAGAAAACCCTTTTGCAATTATGTTAGCACAGCTGAAAACCGTTGTGCTGATTAAAGAAGCAATAAAACTGGCCTTCTTGAGACTAGTTGAGTATCTGGAGCATCAGCAATTGTGGGTTCGATTACAGGCTCAAAATGGCCAGAAACAAATAACTTTCTTCTGAAACTCGTCAGTCTATTCTTCTTCTGAGAAATGAAGGCTATTCCATGCAAGAAATTGCCAAGAAACTGAAGATCTCGTGCAACGCTGTGTACTACTCCCTTCACAAAACAGCGCAAACTGGCTCTAACCAGAATAGAAAGAGGAGTGGGAGGCCCCGGTGCACAACTGAGCAAGAGGACAAATACATTAGTGTCTAGTTTGAGAAACAGGCGCCTCACAGGTCCTCAACTGGCAGCTTCATTAAATAGTACCCGCAAAACACCAGTCTCAACGTTAACAGTGAAGAGGCGACTCCGTGATGCTGACCTTCTAGGCAGAGTTGCAAAGAAAAAGCCATATCTCAGACTGGCTAATAAAAATAAAAGATTAAGATGGGCAGTCTGAGATATGGCTTTTTCTTTGCAACTCTGCCTAGAAGGTCAGCATCCCGGAGTCGCCTCTTCACTGTTAAAAATCAGCCATTCCAGCTACAATAGCCATTTACAACCTTAACAATGTCTACACTGTATTTCTGATCAATTTGATGTTATTTTAATGGACAAAAAAATTGATTTTCTTTAGAAAACAAGGACATTTCTAAGTGACCCCAAACTTTTGAACTGTAGTGTACATATAAGCACACACTGGAAATGGACACGTGCTGTATGCACACATATAAACACAATCAAACGGCCATCGCTCTGATCCTTTGCTCTCTTTTACATTCAGCATAGGTATATAGTGCAGGGAAATATTGTACATTTGGGTGAAAATCATTTGATATCCCGCTCCATTCATGACCAGCTCTTTCCTCCTGCTGATCAGGTTGTGTTTGGTGTACCAAGGGAATGCATGCAGGGCTGCACGGGTGATGTTTACGTGCTAGTCTCTCTGTGTCGTGCTTCTCTCTACTCCCAGTCTCTCTTTCTTTCTGCCTGTGAGGAGCAGGCAGCAATGCTAAAATAGAGCAGACATTCATGTCACATGATGTTAGCGTTAAATTTAGACCACACTGTCTGAGCTACTGCACAGATATAACCCATTCTACATTTCAGTCATTTAGCAGACGCAGATATCCAGAGCGACATACAGTAGTGAATGCATACATTTTCATATTTTGTACTGGTCCCCCATGGGAATTGAACCCACAACCCTGGCGTTGCAAGTGCCATGCTCTATCAACTGAGCCACACGGGACCGAACCCCTACTATGCCATTGTCATAAACCTGTATAAATAGACAATGCCACATACAGGTTGTAAGATCGCAGGCAATGTGCTGTGAGATTTTGTTAATGCCATGAAATAGGGATTGGAAAGGGGATCAGGTCAGGATTGCATTGTAAGGGATTGAACATTGAGTAATGGGATTTGGATTTAACATTTAGAAACATGGGGGGGGGGGGGGGGGGGGTCACTCTTTGACCCAGTAGATCGTGACATGGCCAGAATTCTGTGGAAAGTGTAAACGTCATAGGTGGTTACTCTCACAAAGATAATACTAAATTGCCAAGACATGGGAATTGATTGAGTAAACTAATATATTTCTGTATGTGAGAATAAACAAATGTAGGCTATAGGCCTGATATGTGCATAACTGGGTTTTAAAGTCCAAATGTTATTTATTTTGTGTAAATACATAGCTATTGTTGTCAGATTTGGAGTTGTCCTCTTGTAGTTTATTTATTCATAACATATTTTCATTACTTAAACCTTTAAAGGCCCAGTGCTGCCAAAATTCTGTTTTTCCTGTGTTTTGTATCATATTGTACAACGGCTGATGAAACTTACACTGTAAAAGTGTGATTTTGTTTTAATCAGTGTTATTTCCTAATAGTTGCTGTTTTAATATACACTATGGAGGACCTTCTAATCAGCAGGTTTGCATAGGCGGGAGTTTTGGCTTTCCCTGGTGACATCACCATTCTGTAAATTGGTTAAGAGACCAATAACAAAGATTTCCAAACCTCTCTGCCAGTATGTTTTCAGTTTCCCCTCCACTCGGACCACTCCAAGACAGTTCGAGCAAAATCCTTGCTTGAGAAATAGTTTTTTGCTAAAAAGCTATTTTTGCGCATCACCCGTGTAAATCTATTATAGTAAGGCACTTAATACTCAGAAATTATTTAATAGAGATATAAAAATGGCTGCATTGGGCCTTTTTAACATCTCTTAAGTGCATTATTCGATTCGACACATCATTGACTATGGGACTTCACCAGGACCAGGCTTTCGGGGCTTTAGCACAGAATGATTTTGGGTCAGCCCCGAATCTTTTGCGATGCTGCGATGGTGTAAAAAATTGTTTTCAACTGAATGCGCCACTAGTTAATTCATAGAGCCATGGTTAGGTGTTTGTGAAACTCCCAAAGTCATCAAACTGTTATAATAAATGTAAAGCAATTGTTGCATGTGGTCAACTGGGTGATAATTTCAGCACCATTTTGATTGGGACAGCGTCATTGCGCTGCTTTGAAATCAATGTCAGATTTTTGTTTTCACTGAATCTCTGTTAGCTAAGTTAAGGTGAGTGCTCCCCACTGGGCACAGACATCAGTTCAAAGTCTAGTTTTGATTTATATTTGGTTGAGTTTTCAACTAATGTGAATTCCACATGAAATCAATCAAAAATGTCACCCTGTCATTGGATTAAGACTACACTCTAAAAAGAAAAGGTTCCTGGAGTATCCTTTAGGGGTTCTTCAAATTGAAACTGTGGGGGAACCCCTATAAGTTCTAAGAAGAACCCTTTAAAAGGGTTCTTCAAATAACTAATTTTAATGGATCCTCAAAGAACCCTTTGCAGAACCTTTTGGGGTTAATTTTTGAACTACTCCTATTAATACACATAACAATAAGAACAATAACACAAGATTTTAGTTGTCAGTGTATATTATGATTTTAGTGGCAAAGCAGAATTTAAAAACAAATCTAAATATGAGGTAAACTCCCAGCAGAGCCCCAAGTCCTATGGGAATATCCTCTGGCCTGTTGATGTTAATGTGTTGCTGTTCTCCGCATCCATAGCCAGAATGATTTTGCAGTGCATGGTGATCGAACAGGTTTAGGGAGGGTGAAGTCTGTGAATCCAAAATATAGTAATTGTACAGATGATTAACAAAACATGCACATTACAGTATTCATACCTTGGTTTTGTGGTAAATGTGAAGGAAAAAAACTGTTTTGATAATGGGTTTCATACACATACAGTGGCTTGCGAAAGTATTCACCCCCCTTGGCATTTTTCCTATTTTGTAGCCTTACAACCTGGAATTAAAATGGATTTTTTGGGGGGTTTGTATCATTTGATTTACCCAACATGCCTACCACTTTGAAGATGCAAAATATATTTTATTAATATATTTAAAATATATTTTATTGTGAAACAAACAAGAAATAAGACAAAAAACTGAACTTGAGCGTGCATAACTATTCATTTTTTCTGGCCACTCTTCTGTAAAGCCCAGCTCTGTGGAGTGTACGGCTTAAAGTGGTCCTATGTACAGATACTCCAATCTCCGCTGTGGAGCTTTGCAGTTCCTTCAGGGTTATCTTTGGACTGTCAGAGCATTTTGCTAGCATGTTATTGCCACGTTCAAAACAACTGTGAACTCGGAAATCTCTGACTTCCGACTTCAGAGTGTTTAAGACAACAGGGAACTAAGAAACTCGGAATTCCAAGTTGGAAACTTGTGTATCTTTCTAGAGCGCCGACTTTTCAACCTGAAGATCACTGATGTCATGATTTGACCTCGTTTTTTTCAGTTCCCAGTTGTCTTGAAAGCATCATATGTAGGCTACAGTATAGTCTAGTGGATTATTTTGCTCTTCACTTGCATAGTAGCCATGATCCCATTCCTGAAAGGTAAGACTCTCATGAACACGTAGGCCTACGTGTTTCCTGTTCCCCTCTACAATGCTCACCAGCCACGTAGGAGATGTTAGAAGGCTAAGATAGTGGCAACAAAACATTGCAACTTTCTACTTTTTCTAGTTGTTGTTTTTTGTGTGTGTTTTTCTCAAATCTTCTTGCACAAAACAAATTGAGTATTACTTCATACACCCGGGTAGAACTAATGGAATAGGAATCTGAAACCCGACCTTCCCAAATTCCCGGAGACAGCGGAACAATGGTCTAGCTTCTTCGGTGAGGCGCCGAGTTGCCTGGGAGTCCTACCAGAGAGTTGGAAATGAAGACGCCAACGGAGAGGCAGACGTGGGGGGCCTTAGTGAGATTGAGACACCAAGCAACCCGTCCTCCATTACCGAACATACAACTTGCCAATGTTCAATCATTAGTGAGTAAACTCAGAGTGAGGATCTCCTTCCAGAGTGCTCTCTCAGGCAAGAATAAAGGCAGAGGACTCTGCTTTATGACCAATAACAAGTGGTGCGACGGGGGAAACGTTCAGGAACTTGCGAGCTTCTGCTCTCCCGACTTGGAATACATGGTCATCAAATGTTACCCTTTTTACCTTACGAGAGAGTTCTCAGGGATTATCGCCACGGCTGTGTACATCCCGCCCCAAGCCGACGCCATAAATGCTCTCAAAGATCTTCATTGTACCCTGAACTGGAGACTGTGTAAAAAAGGCAGCATTCA